TTTCGTTAATTACAGTGCTTATCATGTTTACAAATTTTTATTAGGTTCTACTGTTGCTACTTTCCGGCTCGCCGGCTTGCTCCGAAATATCACCCTCTATCCTCGTGTAATTAGTTGGCTCCTACACGGTTGTTCTGTGTCAGTTGAGGCCAAGAGCTCGTTTTCATCGTTTTACATATCATGCAAGTCCTAATGGTCAAATCACGAAAAAAAAGCCTGGGAGAAGTCTGGGAAATGATACAACATTGTACAAAGTGGCAGATGGCGTGACAGATTTAGCTATGTGTTTTGCACTCAGATAAGTCGCTCTCTTTCAACCAATGAGAGCGCACGTTATATCATAAATTTATTGTAGATGTTTTTAAAATTGAATCATATCCAGAGTGCAAGTTGTTTTTGGCTATACCATATCAAGAGAATGTTTTATATTCTCTTGACTATATCCTGAACACCCGAATGGAATTGACGTGGTATTGGTCGTAGTTACTGTTTTGACTGAATTGCTTACAACTTTTAGCCAATAAAAAAAGTTTTTTTATGGCTTTTACTTTGCTTTCGAATTCCATGGGGATTCGAAGGCAAATCGGGGTGGGGCATTGAGAACTGAAAATGAGGACAATCGGCGCGAAGCGCGTGAAAACACGAGAGCGCAAAAGCGCTTGGCTTTTGCTTTGCATTACACCCGTTGAGAGGATGGTCTAAGGTACCTGGGCCTGAACAGGTCTAAGAAAAAGAAAAGCCAAACTTGATTAATTACAAGTTTTTGAACCCATTGCATTTGCTGTGAAATCACAGCTTTTATTCTGATTATTATTGACTTGTGCTCTTGGCTTACTTATATTTTTATTTACATCAGTGAAAAGTTCCCTTAGTACACTGGGTGTATCATTTCTTGGCAATAATAAAGTAAAGTTTTACTCCGTTAAATAGGCTTGCTACTCATTTCCAACACAGTGTCCTTTCGCGGTGGAATCATTCCCGTGTTTCACACGGAGGTGGCATGACAACTGCGGTTTTTCCTGCAAGCCCATTTATGAAGTCGTTCCATTTGCAAACATTCCCTTCCCCTGCAAGGCAAGATTACGAGAGCCTCTGGATCTCTTTTGCAGGAAGGACATATGACCACGTACATATTCAAGTTTGCCAGGTGGCCTTGAAACGCTTGAGCACGATCAAAGCTTCCTCGAGCGAGTCCTGCTCTTGTCCTAAAACCAGAGAACCACCTTCCCTAATAGACCACTGCTTTATTCGAGATTTCCATCTTTATGGAACTTTACGGTACCATTACTGCTTTGCCAAGTGAAGCAAATGTGATGCCAGTTTCCATCATTGGCCTATCCAAGTTGTACGCTGTGATATAAATGCAATTACACTTTAATTTCGAGAAGCTATTTAGCACTAAAACTAAATTCTACCAAAAATCTACCAAAAACTGAGCACTCTGAAATATGCATTTCTCCGACGACCATGCCTAAAAGTTTAAATTCCTGATCTTGTATCAAAAGCAAAACCGGAATATGTTGTTAAGGGTAAGCAATGAGAACACAGCAATTGATATCAAATAATTAGCGTGTGGTGTACAAAGATTTTCGTCGTTCTCAGCATGGGAAAGGAATAACTTATAAGCAAGATGCGCAAGTTGCTTTATGTATCTGACATTATGTTGGAGGTAAGAATTGAGTGCCTTGTTTTACGTCAAGTGTTGGCTATTGGATCGCTCAGCGATTTGTAACAGTTTGGTTAGGTCTCTAAACGAAGCTCACCTGTTTGCACCTGCTATACTGATATTGAATCTTCTGTAATTTTCGGCGATTAGTTCATTATGACGCATGTTAATTAGTTCAGTGTAACGCATGTTAACTCCAGGTCCAACCAGGGCAAGTCCACAGCTACGATCTTCAAAGAGNTTTCAGAATAACAAACGCTGTAAAACAACCGAGACACGTATTTGTGTGGATTGTCAACGCAGCCAAGTTTTCATCCCAGGAGCAGAACCCCCTTCTTTTCAACACCTATAACATTGCAAATCAAAAATACCTGACAAAGGCTCAACTCAAAGTTGAGAACGGGGAGCGTTATCCAGATCATCAAATAGATCCAAATAGTGAGAAGACTCGCGCATGGTTAGCCCTACAAGGGTACTCACATTTTACCCGCAATCTCCTCTTAGGTCCAACCATCGATCTGAAAGAGTTTCAAGATCTGTACGGCATTCTGTACTTTGATCTCACAAAACAGACACCCGAGCTACTAACAAAAACGACAGGCTTAAATTTTGAGTTTTCTCTCGACGGTGCTACGAACGCCGACTACCACATCTATGCCCTTGTTTTGAACAATGAAGAAGTAAGTATAGAAACTATGTCTGGAAAGGCTGTCATTAGAACTTAGGTAGATCGCAGACTTTCGTTTTTTTTTCGAATTTATTATATGTTTCATATAATAAAAAAACATGACGACATACTACCCACACGGAGTAAGCCTCTCAGATGGTCAACGAAAAAAGCTTGCAAAAGCTTACGCTTCAAAATCATCTATCACTCTTCGCCTCTCGCACAATGAACTGAATGGTTCTGACGAGATGATGCTGACAAAGACCCAAATAAATAAAATTAAAAAAGCTGCAGCCGGAGGAAAGGGGGTAGACCTCAAGATAAGCAAAACTCAGATCAGAAAGGTTGCACAACAAGGTGGTAGCCTCTTCTCATCACTTCTGGCGCTCGGTTCAAAAATATTACCTCAAGTAATACCGACTGTAACAAAATTTGCTACAAAGGCTCTACCCGGACTTGCGACAGGTGCGCTTACAAGTCTAGGCAATTTTGCAACAGATAAAGTCTTAGGTGCAGGTCTCGTACCAAACTCGAAAATTCAACAACTCATCGCATACAAACATCTTTTGACAGATAAACAAAAGAAGGACATACTCGCCGCATTACAAAGTGGTGGTGATTTGAAAATAAAGCTGACTAAGAGACAGCAATCAGGCGGCTTTCTCGGCACACTTCTCGCAAGTATCGCTGCACCGCTAGTTCTCAAAGCTCTAACTGGAAGCGGTCATTCAAAGAAAGGGAAAGGGCTGCAAAACAGATGACCTGGGGGTACTACGGGACGTAGTGGAGGTGCTTTGCAGAACAGACCGTATTGGGAGGGAATGCCACAACAGTCACCATGGATTCCACAGTTTGATGGACCTGTAACGACTGTAGGTCGTGGACGAGGGCAAAAAAAACAAAAAGAAGAGGGGATTCTACTGGGGAAAAACTCACCCTTCAACGGAATACCGATCGTAGGAGACATCTTCTGAAACCACCCTTTGAAAACAAACCCATAACAAACCTAGATATCGAAGCGTGGGTTTCATATCTCAAGATCCCAAACTTTGGTGGTGTAATCTCGAGAGATCACATAAAAGATTGTAAACCAAAGCATTGCTATGTGATGAACCTAAACGAGTCACATGAAAGCGGGTCACACTGGGTAGCGATGTTTTTTGGTTCTAACCTCATCTTATATTTTGACTCGTTCGGATTACACCCACCCGAGGAAGTTGTAACGCTTTCCAACACCTTCGATGTAAACTATGCATACAACAACGTGCAATATCAAGCTATGTTGAGCGTGTTGTGTGGGTATTATTGCCTGTGGTTTTTGAACGAGGTAACTCACAGGGCTACTCGCAAGGTGAAAAGGCTCGACCTTGCTCATAAGAGTTTGTATCAAGTATTCAACGATGTGGTAAAACCTCTGTCACACAGCAACACCTCGTCAAACGAGCGCTTCGTCGTAAAGTATTTTACCGAAGTATAATTCAAAAAAAGTATAAAAAAAGATAGGATCAATTGTAAAAACATTGTAAAAAACAGAAAGAATATCAAGCATTGAAAAAATGAAAGCAGCACTAGAATCATTGAAAAAAACATGAATTGAGGTGTATACTTAAAAAATCTCTTCAAATTATCTGAAGAGATTACAAAAACAGAAAGCATGGGTTTCTCAGACGGATATCACAAAATTGATCCAAGAGCGGATGGAGCATCGAAAGAAGGTCCTGAAGGACCGCCAGGTCCTAAAGGCGACACTGGCGCTACTGGCGCACAAGGCCCGCAAGGACCTAAAGGTGACAAAGGCGCTACTGGCGCTACTGGCCCGAGAGGTGTAAAAGGAGACAAAGGTGACAAAGGTGACACCGGCTCGCAAGGTGTGCGAGGCCTGCAAGGTCCTAAAGGCGACACTGGCCCACAAGGTGCACGCGGAGCCACTGGCTCACAAGGCCCTAAAGGTGACACCGGCCCGCAAGGCTCTAAAGGTGACGCTGGCCCACAAGGTCCACGTGGTGCTACAGGTTTGCAAGGTGGTAAAGGCGGCAAAGGCGACAAAGGTGACAAAGGTGACAAAGGCGACACCGGCCCGCAAGGTCTGCAAGGACCTGCCGGTTCGAGAGGACCTACAGGACCAAGAGGTTTACAAGGAGTGAAAGGTGACACCGGCCCGGCCGGTGACAAAGGTGACAGAGGCCCTGCCGGTCCGCAAGGTCCTCAAGGCCCCGCCGGTTCATCAGCGTCAGGCAGTAACATCGATCTCTCAGATTTGAAGAAGAAAATAACTTTCACAAGCACGCATGGAGCAGATCGACAGGTTACAGGTCTAAGCGATCAACCACTCAATGGCACCGCCGCTGTAAACGAAAACAAACTAAACACCGAACTCGCGAAGAAAGCTGATACATCAACTGTTTTGAACGGCTTGAGCGGTAAAGTTGATACATCAGCTGTTATGCTGTTGGATGGCTCGCAGAAGATGACTGGTAACATGACGAGCTTTGCTCAAGAAAAAAATTCTCAGCAGGCATCGTAAACTGATGCCGAGGTTTGGGGAAGAAGGCGTTGGGTGGATGTCATCACATTAATTACACCACAATGTAATTATACAGATTAGCGCCCACGAATCCACGAGAGATACGCGATTGCGTGCGAGTTAACGCGGGGTCATCTGTTGGCGATGAAAATCAAAATCATGAAATGAAATGAAGTTTGTTGTGCGCGTAATGGTCATAAAATACTGCGTTTTCTCTGTTTCTGCCTGTTTCCTTATAACGACATTTTTAATCACGTAGTCTTTCAAAGATCCTTCCTTTTCACAGAAGAGGCAATACCGGCGAGGCGCCGTATTCGAAAAGCCTCTCTTTCGATTATTTAGGTATGATTCTTTCGCTTGGTTTGCCATAAAACAGTAACAAAAGATATCGCAATTTTCATGTGCCGTACGACCTGAATAACAACCGTATCGAATTTCCAGTATTGCGTCACTTGGTGGATCGATCAGTGTTCACGCTTTGCGATCGTAGTACACGATGTTATTGTTTTGGTACAAAACCTGTGGCGGTCGCACGACTTGGCCTCGTATCCTGGTTAAATTCTTACCAATATTATAATATTAAACCTCGACGAGATTTTTCATGTCGAAATGTCGAAAAGCATCATGTTTTCGATTTCGAAACCATTCGAAATGAAGTCATAGAGGCAGTCGGATTTTCGACGTGCGGCTTTCCACCGGCTAACTTAACCACGCAGAGTCTTTGCAGGATTACAAGTGCCACACTTGACCCTTGCAAGCATTGGTATCTACTTTTGAAAGAGGTATGTGACGTTCCTTTGCGTAAATATTTCATATGCGATGTATTTAAGATATTTCCCGACGAAATCCAAAGTGTGGCGACACGGGAACTTCAGCCGGCCAACTCATCGTTCGAAGTAGTGGGGTTAGCCAGGATTCCCGACCTCGTTCACGTTGTGTTCACGTTC